TCTCCGTCGGCAGCCTCAGCGCCTTCCTCTCCGTCGGCAGCCCCAGCGCCTTCCTCTCCGTCGGCAAACTCGGCGCCTCCATCGAGAAATCCGCTTTCTGCGCCGCTAACTCTCGCGGAGCCCGACCTCGACACCGAGTCTGGGAGACAGACGCCCCCTACGAGGCTGAAGCCTTGTCTCGCTATAACGACTGCCGGGCAAGTGTTCAATACGTATCTATTCGACAGGAACGCGAGGGATATGGAAGGTGATTGGCTGCGATTGAGAGTCATCGCCCAATTATTGACAAAATCAATCTGTAGGGAAATGGTTCGGCCCAGTAGAAATTTTCCAATGGCGAGATGATTTCGGCCCGAGAGCGATGTCGAGAAAGCTCGGTCCGCGAGCGTTCAAGCAGGTCCCGTTCGCCGAGGTCACCACCTCCGTTCGCGGGGAGGCAGACTTTGTTCGTACATCATCCTTTCGCGCATCTCGTCTAGTGACAAATACTTGTTCGATACAGGTCAGGGTCATACAGGATAGTGGGATCCTGAATGGACACAACCTATACTGCAAAGATACGCACAGCATATACGGGCGCGACATCACTACCGGCGCTGATCGTAGTTCGAGGTTCTCGCCCGACGTGTCGTTCGTGGCCAGCGACTGGCTCGATACGGCCCAGGGGGATAAAGAGCGTTTGGAGCGCCTTCTTGGGGAGATTCAGATGTTCGGCGATCTCAAGGGGGACAATTCTCAAGACCCTTGTCTGTACATCACCAGCGACGCAGACCGCGAGAAGATCAGGTCTCTCACCGCCGCCGTCTCCGACGCCACGGACTCTTACGACTCCTTCATCACGCGCGGGCAGCTTGGTTGCTACTCCCGAGCCATGGCTTCGAACAGTCACCGCACCCATCTTTACGCCTTCGTCGTCTTGCCTCAGTACGCGCGTTTGCTCTACTTTGACCGCAGTGGCGTCGTTTTCTCCGAACTCTTCGAATGGAGGACGACATCCCATCTCGCG